GCTCGAGGTGCTGACACACAAGCTGCCACCTCCCTCCCTCTACACATCAGTTCACAGTGGTGCGCTGCGTTCACCAGAACATTCTGTACCTTGCTTTTTATTCCCCTTCGCTATGGCCCGGTGCTACGTTAGATCTGTGTACTGCACGCGCGACATCTGCAGCAACAGGGTCTGCCATTTGACTCACAGCTGGCTACACCCTGTTCCCGGCCACACAAAGCATAACTAAGGCTCCAGCAGCCTCCTATCACTGGCACAGCCTACGAGAGAGGCAAGGTCTCACGCTCACCCCAGACCAGATGAATCAAAATTTGCATTTTAACCAGATGACTCCCATAGGCACGTTCAAGTTTAAGAAGTCCTGCTAGGCTGCATCGTGGCAGCTGTAGCGCCGACCAGCCTGCGCAAGGACAGAAGGCAGGAATCTGCAGCGCTCCTCGCCTGACCCCAACAACTCCGTGCACTGCCTGCTCGCGCCCCTCCCTGGCTGTGTCCCAGAACACACCGCAAAGGCATGGGGTGCTGTGACAGTCTGCAAAGGCAGCAACCAAATTATAGCCCTTTATAAATAGGGTAGTAACTCACACACCACACAATTTACTTCAGACATCCCGCCGTATGTAGGGAAAATACCTGCCTCCTAATACATATCCATGTATTACAGCGTCTATCTTATGGCCATTCATTTATTTATTCATTCATGTCATAAAAACTCGTGAGTATCTCTGATGTGCTCAGCCCTCCACAAAGCACTGAGATTTGACACCGAGAAGTCACATGATCTTGTAGTCTACTTGAAAAGACAGATGTTGCATGGAAGGTGCAATTGCAACAGCAGGTGAGGAGTTTGACGATAGGATGGAAGCAAATTCCTGCTCAGGAATCAGGAGGATCCTCCCTGAGGGGTGACACTCTACCTACTTAATGAGAAGGAGCAAGTCCCCCTCGTCAAACGGGAAGGCAGGGGCGTAGGAAAGTGCTCTGGGTGTCCTGGTGGATGGCTCTCCACGGCAGAGTCAGCAAGAGGATGTGTAAACAACCAAGGAAGCCCAGGAATTCTGGCTCTTAGGGGCGCAGAGGTCTGGCCTTGGAAGACTCAAAAGCCATTTGTGGTAAGTAGCGATGGGTGTTACCCTGGGATACCAGAAAGCCATCAGGGGACTTTTAGCAGAAGACTGACACAACTAGATGCACATTAAAGAAAAATTACTTTGTACCTTACAACAATGCACCATAGCTCGTGTCTTTTAGTAGTTTCAAATACTCTGCAAACAGTTCCTTGCCACCATGAGAGATGGCACCGGAACAACTTAAAAAAACACATTTAAAGTGATTTTAATGAGCCTCCAATAACAGCACCCTTCACCAAGATTGGCATGTAATCCTGTTACTGCCCCATGTTCCTCTTGACTTAACAGCATGCATGAATCAGGTGCACTGACAGATACATGCATGTGTCTTACTACCCCACAGGCACACAGAACTCTACACACCCTCAACTCAGGCCTTTCAGAAGTGACAGACAGAAAGGGTGGGGAAGGGGAAATATAAAACCCTGGGATGGGAGTGGGGGTGCTGAGGCCCATATCTACAATGTCAAACATATGAGCAGGTTGAACCCAGTGGGTGGGTGGTGGGTTCACTATTATCACGAACAACCCTCTACATTCCCAGGTTCCACATCCAGAGATTCCTTCAACTGCGGATTAAAAGGATCTTTAAAAAACTGTGTCTCCCCTGAACTTGTACAGAATTTGTTCTTGTCGTTATTCCCTAAGCAATACAGCATAAGAACTATTTACACAGCGTTTACATTTATCAGGCATTATACATGCTCTAGAGAGGATTTAGAGCATGCAGGAAGATACTATGCATTTCATATAAGGGACATGAGCAACCGGGGATTTTGGTATCTGCAAGAGATCCTGAACCCAACCCCTCACAGGTATCTAGGGATAACTACATTTTAATTCAGTCAAAAGTCATCAAGGGCCAGGTCTGCCTCCTCTCAGAGCCGGATGACACAACATGTTGAAGTAGATAGCCCCGTCTACTTGCAATATTCTGAAAGTCACTGTTAAACCCACGAGAGGGAAGTCAGGACACTGGTCACTTGGAAGTAATAGTAAAGGCAGAACAATCAGTACTTTGTGAAATCAGTTTTATTTCATCCAGATATCTAGAGCTCTCTCTTTCTGAGCACCGTCTACGAGCCAGTCCTTTCCTACTCATTTTCCCCTAGCAGGAACGTTCACAACAGCTGCCCAGGCAGAATGGACTTCGGCTGTCAATAACCAGCACCAGCGGGAACTGGCTAAATGTCATCCTGGTTGGCATCATCAGCAATTCAGAGATGACAAACAGCCCGCAGGCCACAGATAGGTCATGGATGTGTTTATTTGCCCTGCATTGTTTAATTTTTAAACATTTCTTGCTGACACAGCACGTAATGGGGAGAATTTATCTAAAAAGCTGATTTCCAGTTTCTCATGAAACGATGAAGATGGAGACAGGCTCGGTCTGCACCAAGTGCCAGCAGAGCCTTTAGCTTCCCCAGCTTGCCTCTGTCCCTTTCACTTCTTCTTCTAGCTCACAGGCCCTTGTTCTGCCTTCCCAGCACCCTCTGGGCTCCTCTAGGCATCTGAGTCAATGGCCTACCCCAGAAGCCAGCAGAGGCTGGTTCCCAGTCTACCCAGAAAGAGGCTTTGCTCAACACAGAACATTGGGCTCCACCCTGGAACTGCAGGTTTGGGAGGTCTATCTACAACAGGGTCCTAGAAATGCATTTCTAGTGTTTATTTCACATCACGTTGATTCTGCTGGCCCAGGGAACCCACTTTCAAAAACCCTGATCTACAACTGCAGAATGAGCCCCAGAGGTTCACAGCTGGTGGGATTGGAAGCGTTCACATCTTTTCACCCGCCAAGTAAGGAAAGGAGAAGATCCATATTTTGACAACTCATCAATAGCCATGCAAAACCCAAATGGGTTATGAGTCCCACCTCCAAGGTGCTAGTGTCCTGAGCAGAGTCACCTTCTCTTCCAGGTCACCTTTTGAGCTTTTTTCGAAATGGTTCAGTAAAAATGGTGACATTGCCCAGGATAGGCAGAGCCCTCCCCAGCACCGAATGCACAGGCAGACATTATCCTAAGACAGCCGGGCAGAATGCCACACGGACCCACCCCTGAAAGACCCCACACCTGACATTCATTACTGCATGACACCACTAACGACAATAACAACCAACTGTCCCGTTAGGTACCAGGCACATCCAGAATGCTTTGTGCATCCTAAGCACCCTCTCATGTAGCAACTGTTATCATTGCTGTAGCACAGACTGTGAAGCAATGGATCAGAGAGGAGACTGACTGGCCCAGTCTCACCAGCTCTGGAATAACTGACAGGCTGACCCACTCTGTTTACTAAGGCTAGGGTCAGGAATGTTGTGCGCAGTCCTGTGTCTGTACTTGAAGATGGGTGTGGACGACCTGCAGAACCACAGGCCCCTGGCAGCGACATCAGAAGGGATGAGCTCGTAGGAGGAGAGGGGCGGGACCGAGCCTGGGCAGCACAGGATGCAAGCGATGAGGCAGCATTTTACACAGTCAAAGGCAGGCTCTACAGAGACGTGGTTCTGAGGAGGCTGATTAGGTATTAATGTATAATTTGCAACAACTGGAAGGGCCACAGAGTGGAACTGGCTGTTCTAGCAGACCTGGCTTCCCAACACCTGGAGGTATCGAGGACTCACCCAGGATGCTGCAGAGCTGTGACTTAACCCTCTGAAATGAGGAAAAGGGGCAGCACTGGGGAGACGTGGGACCCACCTGTGACACTTTCTTAAACTATGTGCCCTTTGGCCCTGGCCTTCCCTGTAATCCTCCAGGGGAGTGGGACAGACTGTCCAGAATCTGGAACCTCCCTTCATCGCACCCTGGCTGAAAGACCTTGGACACAGCACTTAACCTTCTAGCCCCCATCTCCTCTTCCTTAACACAGGGTACAACAGCACCTGGCTTGTTAGGCTCACTTGAGGACTTAATTAGATGCTGCATATGAAGTGCTAAGCACAGTGCCTAGCACATAATAAGTGCTCATGAAATTAACAATTATAGTATCAAAATAACTAGCATTATCGTTGTCTTCACCTCAACACCAAGACCTTACAACTCTAGGTTTCAGTGACAATGTTTATGTTCACTTTTCAGCCTCAGTAGGTGGTTGTACAACCCGTAATAAAGTCCCTGGGTCTGTGCTCTCCTTAATTTAACAAAGAAATATCCTCCCAGCCAGAATCACAGCTCTGATTAACTCAGGTGCAAACTCCTCCCTGACTTTGGCAAGTCCTTCCTGCTGGGTCTTTGGAGATGGAAAACTCTCCTGGGGGTGCAAGACTATGGGGGAAAGTGGAGCTTTTATTCTTGAATTGTACAGGGTTATCGCAAAGCCATGTCTACACCCCAGTGTAGGCTGTGGTTCAGGGCCATGCCAGCTTCTGTTTTGTTCTCTTTCTCCTCGGTAGAAGCTGCTGGGTGAATTGCTCTTATTTACTGACTCAGACATAGTAGTGTTATGTTTCAGAATTAAATTTAAATACTGTTGAGATAAACAACATGACCTTTTCAATGTCGGTATGAAGAGAAAATGACACAGGTGAACCCAGGAAAGGAAGGCAGAATTAGATCCGTTATCACAGCCCCACAGTGGATCTGAACTCTGCTCTCTAAAGAACCCTCCCCAAAAGTTGTCAGCTGAGACAGTTAACAATAACTGAATTGCTACAACAAGAGCTAATAGCGATTTTTTCCCCCTTACTACAGAGGCCAGGCTACGTGAATGGAAATCTCCATATAACTTCTAGCACAGAAATGTGAATGGCTACATATATTCAAGTAGATGCCATGATGTCTACCCGCCGGAGAGCATTCAGAGCACAGTGGACAGAAGAAAGTGTGTCGTGTGTGAGGCCCCAACAGCCAGAGAGAACCATTTACTTACAGCTTTTGGTTTATATGGAGGTTGGATCTCTTTGCGTTCAAGTTTCTCCCAATCAATATACCGGAAGAACGCGTGCTCTTTGATGTCACGTTCGCCTTCAGGCCCACAGCCCAGACGTTTGCCTGGGTGTTTGGTCATCAGCTTGAGGAGAAAGAAACACATTGAGCTTAATGAATTTCAGAACAGGAAATGTGAGACACTCAGAAATTATTATCCCAGTGGTTTAAGAAAGGAAGAGCAATGAAGAATTGCAACTAATTGTATTTTTTAGCTTTTCACGTCAGGAGTAATTTCCTCAGCCAGGCCCTTGTAGAGGGGACCCTACACTAGCAGCTATTGCTACTTCCCTGGAATGTGATCCCCGGGGGTGAATCAAGCCAAAGCCTAAATGCGGTTCTGAACTTCGAGCTAGAAATGTCAGAAAATCCACTTTGGTTCAAAAAGGAGTTTTATGCAATTATTCGTGCATCTAATGAGAACACTTTCAATATCCCCAAATTCCCCACTCCCACCATGAAAAAACTGACATTTGACCAATGCAAAGGATGCTTTCACTCAGATACTATTTACATTTCTCCATAAAGCGCTTGTGAAAATAACAGAACAGAAGAAAAAATATTAGTCCAATGGACCCAAGTTTCAAGTAATCACTTTCAGAAAGCTCATTAAATAGTCAAAACCAAGCCTAGCTCATTTCCTTGTATCACACATTACACTAAACTCCACTGAGGGTTCTTTGGTGTTCTGTTTAAATTACTTAATTATCAAAACTCTCCATCTTTAGGTCTCTGAGCCAGTGCTAAATAACAAGATGAATAGATGCTCTGAGATGAAACCAGACAGGCTTCCTCTTATAAATGAATCCAAAACAGCAGGAAAATATCTCTGATCTCAAGACTTCAGCAAGTGCAGTCAAGATGGAGGAGTTGGTGGTTTTAAAAAAAAGACTACCAAGAAAGCATCAAAAGAGAAAATAAAAACAACTGGGACACACAAGCCCAAGAGGCTTCCTGGAGTAGCCATGATTTTGCCCAGAACTGGCTGACTATGGGATAGGAGTGATCTTAGAAATGTACGCCTCCACCGTGGGACATTCAGCTTAGGATGTTTCCTGCTTACAAGATAATTTATGTTCATATTCCTACGCATATAATTTCCAAAAGAATTTATCTTCCACAGGGAAAAATCATTAGGCCCTTAATGTACTAAGCTACTTCTTTATTACAGGCATGATCCTGCCTGATTGTTACAGTAACCCCAGGAGGTGGGCTGTTATTTCTCCCCTGTGGAATGACAAGGCAATGGGCACCCAAAAAGGTTAAGCAGCTACAAAGACTCACAGAGCCAGTGAAGAGTCAGATCCCCCTCTGCCTCGCTCTAAAAGATTGTCTTTTTAAAAACTGTATTTTAAAGAGAAGAAAAATAAACAATAAAAACAATGGTATAAAATTCCAAAACAAGATTGCAGGAGATTGACAATGGTTAGTGCATTGTGTATTGTTATTTTCTTTTTTTTTTTTTTTGTGTATTGTTATTTTCAAAGTAGGTGCTCATATTACAAGATACAGGCATGAAAAACTGATCAAGCAATATAGGCATAAACTTTCCTTTCAATGAGCTAATAGCAATTAGTAGTAGAACTATCTTAACTATCTTGTGTGTATGTCTATATATATTTATATACTTTCCCTTTTCCCTTCCTTCTTTTCTCCTTTCCTCCATTCTGGTTTTTTTTTTTCCTTCTAAGCAAAAACTATGGGCTTTTAAGAGAAACAGAAGAGCGTTTCTATTTCCTGTGGTTTCCCAGGGATATCTGTGGTCTGGCTTGTTTAGAAAAAGTTGACAGAGGGCAGGATTGATGATAACAGTATCAATAATGGTTTCTGGGTGTTTGAGTATATTGTGTGTGTCCAACCTCCGTGCGGAAGTCTCCACAGCCATTATTTATTCACTAGTCTTTACAACAGCTCTGTGGGGGCTTCAGCAGTTATGCTCCCAGCACCCATCGAAACTGGGTGCAGAGAAGCAGAGGCATTTGCCTAAGGTCATATAGTGCAGGAACAGCACTGGGTGTTGAGCAGCTCTGCCCAGCCAGAATTCTAGCGGCTCCTTGCAAATCAGTCGCTGTGCATTTCCACTCTAACCTGCAGCTAATATGGGCTTTTCTCAGCTTTAAGCTCGCTCCAAGTGGACAGGGCAAGTAGAGCAAAGTTTTGCCATTTTTTAGGGTAGAAAATAGGGCCTTTAATGAGGTGGACATATGAAGGCCCTGCTTCCTGGGGAAGGTGTCTGTTTTCAAAAGCCTAGCCCAATTTCTATGCAAGCAGGAGGATGCCAAGCAGAGGAATGCCACTGCAGAAACACCGGCGCTGACTTGGAGTCTCTGCCCGGTTCCCACACTCTGCTCTGACGGGGCTGAAGCCATGCAGACAGCTGGGTTTAATCGCTGTTCCAGTCTCCGATCACCTCCCAGCTGCACTCCCTGGGGCTGCTGTTTGGGAGAAGGCGGATGTCTGTTTGCGTAGGCATCACCTTTTCTGCAGAACGTCAGCCCTGAAGAGGGAGCCCACACTGGACTGCACCCATTCAAATCAGAAAGGTCCCCAAACCCAACAGCGAGAAAGTCACCCCAGTTCATCCTGAAGGTTACGGGTCCTGAATTAATAGGAAACTGCTCTACCAGGGACGCTGCTAATTGGAGCTGAAGCTCAATGCAGCTGACCTGGAAAATTCTCTCTCCTCTATGACCCACTTAGAACCCCCAGCTGTCCAGGCAGGGCAGGCTTGTGAAGGGGAAGGCCTTGAGCACGTATTGAGCACCCACTAAGTGCCAACACCATGCAAGGAGCTTCCTCTTACGGTACCTCATTTAATGCTCCTTGGTACTCTGCTCAGTGAGTGTTTTTATGCCAGTTTTTAGAGATTAAGACACAGAAGCCAGAGATACAAAGGGATTTGCTCAAGACCGCACACCTAAGAAGTGGAACGGTGGAGATTTGAAAAGGGTCTCTTGATCTTCAAAATCCCCCCACTTGAAAAAGTCTCACTGCAGGGGACACAGATTCCAACGCCAAGAGGAAAAGGCAGGTAACACAGGTGACAGCATTCGTAATAGTAAGAAAGCCTAAGAGCTCCAGAGCACAACGCCAAGCTCGAGTCTAAGTGATTTATAGGTATTAACTCATCAAAGAACCTGATGTGTGATGCTGTTATCGACCTCACTCTGCAAATCAGGTCAAACAACTTCCCCACGATCACACGGCTAAGGCTGCCTGGACTTGGATTTGCACCCAGATGGAACTGGGCCAGAGGGTTTTTTTGCAAATTGGAGAGGGCGTGTCCCGCACAAAGGAGGCAGGTGCTTCCCATCCAGCTGATTGATGCTCTGTAGAAACGACAGCCAATGTATCAAGACCTGCTTTTGCAAGAGAAGCTGGAAAGCTGAATGCTTCTGGGAAACCTCCTAATCCTTAAATGTTGGGAATTATTAAGCGAACTAAAACCTCCGTGTATGACCTCTTTCCGCTGCTTCCCCGGTGGAATGTCTACGAGGGTGTGCACTGGCCTTAGTCTCGCCCTCTTTTATCTACAGGCTTTGTTTATGCTCTTAATAAAGCCCTGGGTCTCTCCTGTGTTCCTCATTTTTCCTCTCACTGCCTCTCACCCTCAGAGAAAGTATTTTCAACCAATTAGCTTTGAGATGTTAGAGTCTGAGACTAATTCGCATGTGGTTTCCCCAGGGATATGTGCATCTCAACCTGTGTAGCAGAAACACACAGCTTGTGTGATTTGTGGAGAGTGGGAATTTAGGCAGTGTCACAAGTGTGAGAGGTTGGCCCAGCTCTTCCAGTCTGGGCCAGGCCTCAGTCTCACTTGCCTGAGTATTCCAGCCATCCTTCACTCAAGCCAGCTCCCACGGCATCTGACCTGGGTAAGGAAGAGCATGCTGCGTAGGGTGTGGGAAATACGCAAACACCCGCAAGATCTGGGTCTGTTCCAACACAGAGACGGGAACCCACCATCAAGGAAAGCCAACTTCTAACCTGCCTGCACCCCTGGTTAGCAGCAGAGCAAATCCTTTGGAAAGGCATCCTCCTTGGACAGTATTTTCTGAGAACCTCATAATGCTTTCACACTTCCATCGGTTGAAAGATTGCTTCGTTGGGCAACACATTTAAAGGTAGTGATTTTCAAGCCACATGGGGACTTTCTCAAAATACTGCAATGCTCAGACTTCAATCTTTGAGGTGAGCCTGAGGTCTATGCATTCTGAAAAAGCATTTCAGGCCGTCTCATGGCTGCAAAGTGAGGATCACAGATCTCCAGGGCCCCACACAGGTCACCAGGGGCATAACCAGGTCCAACACAAGACACATGGCAAATAATTCTTTCCTGGAAACTTGTGCCCTGCTTTCTTCACAAATGCAATTTGCACATGCCACAAGTGTATGACTATGCACACTTTATTTGCATATTGGTATTGCAGGAAGGGGGTAACAGGGGTTTGGGGACATGGAATTTGGGTTGGCTCATTAGAGCATACCTTCAAGTCAATACTACTTGATTTTCTTAGAGCAAGGATTACACAGCCTTAGTATTAAGACACACACGCTGCAGAGCAAGGTACAGAGAGTCCTGCCCCCTCTCACTAACTCCAGCGCTTAAGCAAAGTCTGCTTCCTACCTCTCTCATTCCTTAAACTTCCCCTGCACTGGGCCAGGAGCTGGAGCCCCGCAAGGTGCAGTCACAGGTGTGCCCCTGCAGTGCTTTTGTGCAAGTTACAACAGCTCTCTTTCCTATGGGAGGCAGCGGCTCCGTATCAGGGCTCTAATGTCAGCAAGAAGAGCGGAAAGCGAGGTTCTGTCTGTTCCCCGCGGTGCCGCACAGCCTACATACGCCGGGTGCGGCAGTCCTGGGCTTACTCACCCCTTTGCAGATGGCCACGGCTTCCTTGGACATAGACTTCGGATACGCCACGTTGTGTTCCATGATGGACTGGAAGAGCTCATCCTCATCTTCTCCCTCGAATGGGGCCTGTGGGACAGAGGGCAGCGTGGGAGAAGGTTCCTGCCTTTGCCCTCCCCCAGCTGCCTCTACCCGCAGGCTTCCTCCCTGGGCCTCAAATGAGGCCACGCTCCAGGGTTTTCAAGAAGAGAAAGAAAATGTCCCGCAAACTTGGATAACCCCAAATCCAGGGAAGTCACAGACGTTCAGATTTACGAGCTGCTACCAAGTTATCGGATCCTTCTACAGCAGCCCTGCGGACCGGAGTGGAGGAGGGCTTCTCCTCCAGCTCACTTAACACTGAATTACCTGCCCGGCCAACATCTCGTACAGCAGGACTCCGAATGCCCACCAGTCTACGGACTTCCCATAGGGCTGGTAAGCGATTATCTGCAAAACAGAAAGCGTCTGTAAGGAAGGCGCAGTCCACGCAGCTGGAGACTGAATTCACACTTCTCTTCCCACAAGAGTGGTCCTCACGGGGGCGGGGCGGGGCGAGCTCTTCCCTGGCACGTCCCCTACCTACCGTGAAACACAGCGGTGTCACAATCGGAGCAGGCCCGCGTCTCAAGGAATGGACAGGAAGGTGACTGCCCACATGAACTGTTTTTTCACTTTAGCTACTCAGGCCATGATGAGCATGCGTCACAGATAAACCTGCACCCAGGCAAACACCTGTGCATGTCATGTTGTCTTTTTAAGCCCCGAGGATGGTATGGTGTGTATCTGCTTTTGTGTGTACTTCTATGTGTGTGTGTGTGTGTGTGTGTGATATTTCAAAACCTATATATGGCATTTTAAAGAAGAAAAGCTATTTCTGTTCCACTGTACAAAGTACATTTATATGAAAATGTGAATCTATATCATACTACTAAACTACATATTTAGAAATGATTAATGAGGGAAAAGAGAAAAGAAAGAAGGGGTAAATATGTATACGTGTATAGAAAGAATAGCTAACAGAGTTGTACTACTGACTTTTATTGCTTTATTGAAAGGAACAGTTAATGTTTAATTGTTTGATCAATCTTACATGTCTATATTTGTTTATCTGAGTAACCAATTTGAAAATATCAATATGTAATATAGCAACCAATGTTAATTTCCTATCACCTTGTCTCAAATTCTGTATTGTTTGTATTATTTTTGTGTTATTTTGTAAATGTATGTGTGGTTGTTAATATGTTTTCATTCTTTTATCTTTAAAATAAAAAAAGAAAGAAATGGTTAAGATGCCACATGGTTGTTTTGTTTTTTTTTTGTCTTTTTGAGACAGGGTCTCGCTGTGTAGTTCAGGCTGGCCTTGAGCTCACTTTGTAGCCCAGGCTGGTCCCAAACTCCCAATGATCCTCCTGCCTCAGCCTCCTGAGTGCTGGGATTACAGGTGTGCACCACCAAGCCTGGCCTGCCATGTGTTTTTTTAAAACCATAATTAAAAATAAACTTCATTTTTTAAAAAATAAAAACACTTTAAGAGTAATAACATTTGTTGCTATTTTACTATTTAGTTAGAAAATACAGACAAACTAAGAGAATAAAATAAAAATCATGCATAATCCTTTGTCAAGAGAAAATTATGACTAATATTTAGTTTATCTCCTTCTAGACTCTTTTTTATGAATATATATTGAACTGCATATTGAATATATATTGAACTGTATGTGTGATTTACATAAGCATAAACACTTTAGTAAGTGGACCTTTAATAAAACGTGTGATCACTTAAGTTTTCCTTGCTAACATTTGTACACTGACGAAATTGGTTTTTACTCTGCATAGCATTCCACCGATGGATGTACCAAATCTAGCTTCTTAATTCCCAGTTGAATAGGTATGTTCTGCTGCTAAATACATATTCTTGTAATTACATATATGGACCTCTGTCCAAGTATTTCCATAAGATAAATTCCTAGGAGTCGAATTAGTGGACTAAACAGAGTACAGTAAGGGATGTGATGGAGAAGTCTAGTAGGCATACGGCTGTCCTCCTTCTAGTGTGCATGAGTGTCAAAACATCTGTGCCAAAGAGGTGTAGAGATGACAATGCAGAGACCAGGGCTGAGGTCTGGGGGTTGAACTGTCCAACGCTGATGGCTGATTTCTACTTAGCAAGCCCATGACCTTAGGGAAGCTATGTAACTACTTCTAGCCTCAGTTTCCTCTTCTACAAAGTGAAATTTACCACAATCTCTGCATCATGGGGCTTTGTGGGGAACGAATGCTATACCAGGGGACCCTCACAATGTTAGCATTTACTAGAATGTTCTCTATTTCAGCAACTGCTTGCTTTTCTCAATAGAGATACCGGAGCAAACCTGGCTATGACGTGAGTGACTATTTCTCAAACTCTACCTGCTGCCTCTGCCTCTACTCTAAAAGCAGAAATCTGGAGATGTTGTTGGAAAGACACAAAATCTCAGTTAGATGGAAGGTAGATATTCAAAAATTCTGAAGTACAGTATGGTGACTATAGTTTATAGCAATGAACTAAATTCTTTTTCTTTTTTTAACTTTTTCAATACTGAGGATTGAACCCGGGGCCTTTGCACTGAGCTACATGGCCACCCCTTTTCAGGCTTTGAGACAGGGTCCAGGGAAGACTTAAACTTGTGATCCTCCTGCCTCAGCCTCCCTGAATGCTGCTGGGATTACTGTCAGGCACCACCATGCCCAGCTAGGAATTGTTTTCCTGAGAACTGCTGGGTGTAGATTTTCATCATCTTCATCATAACTGTATCTATATTTCAAAAATATTTTGTATGTGACAAGTATATATTTTTTCTTTGACAATTAAAAATAAGTAAATAAATAACAAGCAATGCACTCTGAGGGGAAGCAGGCTAAGGCTCAAAAGCCCTCAGGGAGATCACCTCCCATGGAAAGTGTTTTCACACTTTTAGGGTACTTTGCGCCTCACGACAGCCCAGCAAGTTAATCCTCTTACAAAGGAAAATAGCACCTGGGAGGAGAAAGAAGTTGCCAGAGGTGATGCAGTTAGTTAGCAGCAAAGCCTGGCAAGCCCTGTGGTACGTTCTTCTCAACCTTGGGCTGGAAGAGGAGGCAACTCAGGCATCACAACTCCCTTGGAATGACTGAGAGCCACAGGCCCGGGGCCCCACTGCACAGAGAGTCTCACTCAGCAGATCTAGAGAGGGGGCCCAGCCGGGCTACATCTGAAAAGCTTTCTGCGTGACTTTAAAGGGCAGCTAGAGCTGGGCACCAAGGGTTAGCAAACACGTGACACAGCCAGGAATTGGAGTCTAGCTTGGATCGGACGTCCCACTAATTAACCAAATGATAACAGATCCGAGGACACCACACAGGGACAATTCTGCTGGGTCCTAATAAATAATCAACTTTGAAAAAACAGGTTACCCTGTTCTTATTCAAGAAATACACACATTTACCTTGTGGAACATGTAAATAGTATACAGATGGAATGAAGCTTCTCTTTACCTGAGCTTATCCCGGGAGGCCATAAAAGTGAGAACATTCTCCAACTGTCTCGGTTTTTTATGCTTTTACATGCACATCCACACACTGACTGAAGACACATTGCAGTCTTCCACATATCACAGTTATTGCCCAGAAATGCTATCATATTGTATTTAGCATTCTCTACTCAGACTTGTTTCCTCTTTGCAGTATGCTTTGGAGATATTTGCTATGAACACATATATCTAACTCATGCTTTTGAACTGATGCCTAGATTTGTTTTTTTTGTGAGGTGCTGGGGAATGAACCCAGGGCCTCACACACACTAGCCCAGTGTCCTACTGCTGAGCTATATCCCCAACCCTGCTATAAAAATTTTATTTTGACACAAAGGCTTGCTAAATTGCCTAGCCTGGAAATCCTACTACCTCAGCCTCCTGAGTAACTGGGGATGACAGGTGTGGGCCACCACATCCACCAGAATAGCTTTTTATACTGGAACTAAATCACAGTCTATTGCCCTTACCCCTATTGAGGGGTATAATTTCACATTAATATACATAGGTGTACACAGGTCTTTCTAAGGGCTTCATAGGATTTTCTAATGTGAATACAGCATATTTTCGCTAATTTTTCCTTTATTGATAGACTTTAAGGTTGATTTCTATTTTTCATTATTAAAAAACAATGTTGGGATGAAAGCAGGGTTTAGAACACATATTCTTCCACCCCTACATATCAGCGCGAGTCTGTGTGCTTACGTGTGTGTGTGTGTGTGTGTGTGTGTGTGTGTGTGTGTGTGTATATGTGTGTGTGTGTGTGTGTGTGTAAACTAGCTAGGCTCCTGGAACACGAACTTTTGGAATAGGAGGACACAGGTTTTAAATTTTACGCCAAGTTAGTTAAACAGGGATTCTCATCGCCACGGTTGTGTATCACAGTCCACACTGACGGACAGGAATTTCTGAATGTCTCTTTCCAAGATTCTGTGCCAGATCTTCAGTTCTTTTTCTTACAAAACTCCAGCTGCAGACTGCAGTGTGCCACCTTTCCAAGCATCAATTCAGATAAAACAGAAAAAGGATCGCTGGGCATCAATTATTGTCCTGTGCTATGCCATGTTGGGGGACAGCATCTAGTCACTGACCACTTCCTCTGGGAAGAGTAAGAAAGAACTACAAACAAATCCTGGTCTTTTGTCTGTATCTTTAGCACAGGCAGAAAAATCTGGAATCTCCCAGGGTTTATCACAGCTACCACACACACAGTACACAGCCCCTGTGTCATATGTCAGCCTGGAGAATCTGTTCTCTCTGTCTCTCTCTCAACAAACACTTCAGTGTCATAATTAGGAGGTATCATATGGCCACAAGCCATAGCAGCTTGACGAAGAATTTTACTGATGTGTGTTGGATGGTTCTTTTGAGTTTTATTTAAATTTTCTCGCAAATCTTGATGTATTTTAGGCCTGAGCTTCTGGATGTATGCTAAGTTAATTTGCATGTGTGATCTCAAAGGAATGAGTTAGAGTACAGGGTAAGGACCAACATGAGATTCTGCCCTCAACCCTTCCTGCCTCTCACACAGCCGTCTGGACAGCAGTGGGAGATGCTGTCACAAGGCAGAACGTGTATGAGGCATCCCACCAGCTCTTACCTCAGGGGCAATGTAGTCTGGAGTGCCACAGAACGTCTTGGTGGTCACCCCATCCCAGATGTTCTCCTTACACATGCCGAAGTCAGCAATCTTGATGTGGCCCTCAGAATCCAGCATCACATTGTCAAGTTTTAGGTCCCTGCAGCAGATAAGAACACAGGGATTTATTTGTTATTTATTTTAAGCCAACCATTAGTTACTTGTTATATATGAAACACTCTGATAGGTGTTGTGCAAAAACAAAGGTAACTGTAAACCAGCCCTGGTCCTCTGGTCACTTACAGTCTGGCAAGGAGCAGACAGAGGGCCCATAAACCTCTGTGCTTTCCTGTGTCTCATGAGGACACAATGAGACGGGAGCTCTAAGAAAAGAGGAAGAATCCCAGAAAGTTAAACCAAGGCCACAGCATACAAAGAGGCTTCTTATAGCCAGGAGAATTCCAAGAGTCAAGCTGCAATTTATGGACCCTTTGCATGTTGTAAGAAGATATAATTTTCACAAAATTATTTTTAAAGTGTCTCTGAAAATCATAACGAGAAAAACAAAAGACGGAGAGAAACTTGTTTAACTCCAAGTACTTCCGGTGTTTCAAGGCCACTTCCTGGAAAATGACCCAAGAGTTCCCATTGATTCTTTCAGTCAAAGAACACTTCCTGCACACCGCCATGTGGCAGGCACTATGCCTGGAGCCAGTTATATTAGCTGTGAACAAGCTGAATAAGCACGCTGCTTTTATTCAGATTAAAGTCTATTGTAGGGAAAAGGATAATTAACAAATATTCAAATCTATGAGCATGATTACCATAAATTCTGATAAGTGGGATACAGGAAATAGAGAAGACAACAAGACAGTAATGGGAGAAAATCACTTCCAATGGGGAGTCAGGAAGGACATCTCTTAGGCAGTAACCCTTGAGCTTTAACCTGAAGGGTATGTGCTACACTCTCATTCTGTTATTTCCATTTGTGTTGACGAGGAGAACTTGATCATTCTGGGGAACACCTGCATACTTCCAGCATATAAGATCACCTTAATATCCATCATTTCCTCCTAAACATATACTCCAAGGTTAACTCTTTGTATTTCAGCACCAGTGAATAGGGATAATCTATAGGTCAGACTATCTCGGTCCTAACAGCAGATGAAGAAGTTCAGTTTCCTGAGAAGTGAGAGCACCTACTTCCCAGTCCAGAGCTCTCCCCTAAAGCTTCTTGGTTGGGGTGTGGAGGTCTATGGTTTCTGCTTATTTAAGCATCTTGGGGTGAGTCTACCACTTCCTGATTCTCAAACCATCCATGGCCCTAACTTCTAGCCCCTGAAGAAAGGATGGGCCTGTCCAGCCAGTGGAAATACCACATCTTGTTGGCCATGGTGATGGGTTCAGAAATGGACGTGTGACCCAATCTGTATCTATAAAAACGCTGGCAGTTTTTCAGGTACCATCAGGAAAGAAGTAAGTTCTTTTTATATTGGGATTGGAAAGGATATAAGCACAGTGGCTTCGGTGATAAAATGTAAGCCTAAAAGCTCCAGGGGTCACTTGATGGAGAGGCAAGAGCTCGTAAAGATAAGCAGACCCTAGAGGGTGGGTGATAAAGCAACTCATATAACATCGTTAAAACAGCGGCACCATCCAAGATGAAGTTCAGATCTTCCCTGGACTTTTCAGTTATGGCAGCCGATAAATGTCTCTTTTAGTTTAAGTTAGTTTGAATTGAGTAGCCATCATCACTTCCAGCTAAAATGCTACAACCTGAAAACATATCTCCGCATCTCTCATCTGTATCTGTGAAGGCTCCTCGTCCAAGGGGAGGTCCATTTGCACCTCCCCTTGCACACAAGACAGTGGAAGAGACTGTTCCCAACAGCAATGGTCTCTTCCACTGTCTTGTGCGCTGTCCATGGTACCAACCACGGCCAGCCTTGACACTTCTCTGCAAGCCATGCGATACTCCGAATGCCATGCTCAACTGAGACATGCTGGACTTACAGCAACTTCCCTCACCTAAACATACTGGTTGTACTGTGCATATTATTTCATTAATAACACCATGCAACCTCCCCTCCGCCTGACCACATACCCAGAAACAGGCAGCAGGGTCAATTAGAGAAATGATAATGTCTTCATTTATTATAGAAAAGGAAGGGCTGGGGATTTAGCTCAGCGGCAAAAGCGCCTGCCTGGCAAGCGCAAGGTCGTGAGTTCGGTTCCTGGTACCGGAGAAAAACCAAAAA